TTTCGTTGTACGAAAAATCGCCTAAATACCCTCGCGTTTCCGAAGGTAACGGTTAGGAAGAACTCTATGCTTTTGTTCGTCAAAAACTGTTTAAGCGAGAGATACAGCTATAGCTGGTTTATGATACGTACATGTCTACGGTAAGATTCGTTAGGGCCGGATCTGATAGACAATAGGGTACTCGGTGACCCGTACTCCGAAGTAAAAACTATTGACGGTGGCCTACATGCCGACCGCTTAGGCCCTGCAATAAATTGCTTAGCCGCGGCATAGGTTTCGGTTCGCGGCCGAACAGTGATATTGAATAAATTTCACCATTTCTATAATAATATTCCAAATTAAACAACAATTTTTTTTAATATTCCAATTGATACAAAACGTAAATCTGATTATTGATGTCATCTCTTCGAAAATTTTAAAACACGTGAATTTCATAAATATTCCACTATTGAATCTTACAAGCAATATTTATTTTTAGCTCTGCGAAGAGTAGACCTAAATACTGTATAGTTTGCATTACGATAAAGCATGAAACACATGAAGTGCATCGTTAAAAAGAAATAGTAAAAGAAGCAAACTTTCATTTATAAATTTATCAGTGTTAAAAGTAATCTATAATTTATGATATTATTACTTTCAAAATAAATGTAAGGTGAAACCTTCTGAACTTATGAAAAATTAGTTCTTCGAAGATATTTTACGATTTCACTATATCACGTCGCAGACTATGCGCTTAATTGCAGTTGGTTTTTCTCATTTATTCTGGCGCGGAGATAGAATCGTAACAACAATAAAACTAGCCCTTGCGATGTTTTTCTTATTAACCTGAAACCATTGTTGGACAAAGGAGTTAATAAAGTTCTCTTTCGACGACGGCCTCTGTAATTCTCGCTCCATAGAACGCAATTATAAACGCAACGTTGTGTCTGGCCGCAGAACATTCTGGTCGACAGAAAAGTTTCCAGACACTTTTACAGTCGGCGAGCAAGATATACTTCAAGTTCATAGAATATATGTACCGGGCGTTTTAAAATATGTAATGCCATTTTGAGTTGAAAAATGGAATCTTCATTTGGAATGGGCTCTCAAATTCCTATATTCTCAATAACCCAAATTCCTGAATCGATTTGGAAATTGTCAAGTTTTCAAATAGACAATTTTCTATTTCAAATTTCAGATTTCCAATCTCCCAAATTTTCAAATCCTCAAATTTTTAGTTTTCAAATCACACAAATTAAATTTAGATTTTACTGAAATTTCTAAATTCTCAAATACCCAAATTTCCAAACTCTGCATTTTGAAATACCCAAATCAATAAATCCTCAAAGCCCTACTTTTCCAAATCTACAAATTGTCATGTCCTCAATTCTCATATCCCAACATTTTTAAATTTAAAAATTTTTAAATTCAAAAGTTCCTTAGTTTCAAAACTTTCAAGTCATCAAATAGAAAA